GCTTTCTATTCATCTACTGTAGCACAAACCCAAACTTCACTGCGTCTTCCAAGTACTGTATGTTTAATACTGTTGCATTAGCTGTATGCTTAGCTTTGTTTTCTAGCACATCTTCATACATTACTTTGTCTGAAGTGTTTACATGACCTCTGCTAACAGCGTTGGAGTGTTTCAGTAGTACTTAGAGCATGTAATCGCGGCTCGCTGCTTTAAGGAACTGGTGCTGTGTATTCCCGAGGTGAGAAAGAGAAACTGGGCCACAAGGACACGGATCTGCCTGCTCAGCCTGTTCCACTGAAATGCAGACATTTACATCAGGAGTCTGTAGCAGCTACGAGCTGTGAGCAGCTCCTGCTGTAGTGTCAAGATGCAGTCTGCAATGGGGGGGAGCTGTGAGTGCAATGTCAGAGATCTGTGGTAAAGCAGAGGCTGTAACTCCGATTTCTTAAATCCGGGCTTATTTTTGAACTGCTGTCTTACCGTTCTTACTTCCCAGGTCATTTATAGAACCATAGAATGGTTTAGGTTGGAAGGGACCTTAAAGATCATCGAGTTCCACCCCCCCTGCCGTGGGCAGGGACACCTCCCACCAGACCAGGTTGCTCCAAGCCCCGTCCAACCTGGCCTTGAACACCTCCAGGGATGGGGCAGCCACAGCTCCTCTGGGCATCCTGGACCAGTGTCTCACCACTCTCACAGGAAAGAATTTCTTCCTAATATCTAACCTAAGTCTGTACTCTTTCACTGTTACCCCTCTTCTATCACTATTCTCCCTGATCAAGAGTCCCTCCCCAGCTTTCCTGTAACCCCTTTAGGGACTGGAAGGGGCTCTAAGGTCTCCCTGGAGCCTTCTCTTCTCCAGGCTGAACCCCCCCAACTCTCCCAGCCTGTCCTCCCAGCAGAGGGGCTCCAGCCCTCGCAGCATCTCGGTGGCCTCCTCTGGCCCCACTCCACCAGGTCCATGTCTCTCCTGTGCTGAGGCCCCCGAGCTGGAGGCAGCACTGCAGGGGGGTCTCCCCAGAGTGCAGCAGAGGGGCGCAATCCCCCTCACCCTGCTGGGGATGCAGCCCGGGATGCCGGGGGCTTGCTGGGCTGCCAGCACACATTGTGGGTTGCTTTCTGTGGTGCCAGTGTACGTTGCCAGCTCATGTTGAGGTTCTCATCTGCCAGCGGCCCCAAGTCCTTCTCCAAGGGCTGTCCTCAATCCATTGTCCACCCAGCCTGGATTTGTGCTTGGGATTGCCCTGACCAACGTGCAGGACCTTGCAGTTGTTGAACTTCATGAGGTTGGCATGGGCCCACCTCTCCATCCTGTCCAGGTCCCTCTGGATGCCATCCCTTCCCTCCAGCATGTCGACCGCTCCACACAGCTTGATGTCATCAGCAAACTTGCTGAGAGTGAACTCAATCCCACTGTCCGTGTTGCCCACAAAGATGTTAAACAGCATGGGTCCCAGTACCGACCCCTGATGAACACGACCTGTCACTGCTTGCTGCTTGGACTTGGAGCCATTGACCACAACTCTTTGAATGCAGCCATCTAGCCAGTTCCTTATCCACCGAGTGGTCCATCCATCAAATCCATGTCTCTCCAATTTAGAGACAAGGATGTCGTGTGAGACAGTGTCAAATGCTTGCATGATGTCAAAGTGCTTTGCATACAGTACAAATTAACAAAAATATCTTTTTTTTTTTTTGTGAAAATGTGATTTAAGGCACAACTAAGAACGCTTGGGAGTAAAATATTAATGTAATTGCAGACACAGGAATGATTTGTCATGTTGCTATCATGAAGCATGGAAGGTGAAACGCCACGAATAAATTTTATGCATTGGAAGAAGCTATGCTGTCAGTGGAACAGTGCAGGGGGGGTTCCTCGTTTCTGCGTGTTTTTTGTGCAAGAGTAGAGGTGCATCTGCATGGTGCCATGGGAGGTGTCCCTGCCCATGGCAGGGGGGGGGGAACTAGGGGATCTTTAAGGTCCCTTCCAACCTAAACCATTCTATGATCCTCTTCGTATCTGGGAGCAGGGGGGAGGGTGTGAGGCACCAACTCTGAGAGTCTGAGGCATAACAAAAGAAAGAGAATCTCTTCTCCTTTCCGTGTGGTATCTGTTACGGCCTTCTGCCACTGCCATCTGAAAGTGTAAAACAGTGTTAAGACTGTAAAATAAAATACAACGTTTGGGTACATTGTCTTCTTTTAGGGTGTTGTAGGATATATTTTGTCTTTAATTTCTCTGTCCTCCTTGGTAGTGTGTGTACTCCTGTGCTCCTGTCGTCCTCTTGTGCCGTGTTCCATATGGTAGTACAGATTTCCTTGCTCACTTGAATCTTCTTAGTTGCTCTTTCTGGGATCGCGATCCCCTGTGAAATGGCTTTTTTTTTCCTTTTTAAAGATGAAGTCCTTGAGTAGGTGGTGCAGCCTGTTGTTTTTCTTTGAAGGGAAGAAAGAGTAGTGAACTGGAAGTTTTGGGTATGTCTCATTTGACTTTTTGAGAGAGAGGGAGCATTTCTTCTATGTTTAAGTTCTTTGTTTACGTTTATTTGAGAAGAGCTTCTGTATAAACCTGTCGGAGCAGATCTAGAGGAAGCCACAAAGATGCTCCGAGGGCTGGAGCACCTCTCCTATGAGGAGAGGCTGAGAGAGTTGGGGTAGTTCAGCCTGGAGAAGGCTCCAGGAAGACCTTAGAGCCCCTTCCAGTCCCTAAAGGGGCTCCAGGAGAGCTGGGGAGGGTCTCTTGATCAGGGAGTGGAGCGATGGGATGAGGGGAAATGGTTTAAAACTGAAAGAGGGGAGATTGAAATGAGATATGAGGAAGGAGTTTTTCCCTCTGAGGGTGGTGAGCCCCTGGTGAAGGTTGCCCAGAGAAGCTGTGTCTGCCCCATCCCTGGAGATGTTCAAGGCCAGGTTGGACGGGGCTTTGAGCAACCTGGGCTGGTGGGAGGTGTCCCTGCCCATGGCAGGGGGGTTGGAACTGGATGATCTTGAAGGTCCCTTCAAACCTAAACCATTCTGTGATTTGAGTTCCTACCTTCTACTTTCCTAATCGTGTTGAAGAACTTGGAAAAATCTATCAAATACAAGCCCTTCTTGTGTCCTGCTTGTTGTTGTTGAAGATACTCAGTTGGAGAGAAACCTATTTCCCTATGGTTTCTTCTCTCCTTTGGTATTTTTCGATGATGTGCAAGCAGTTCTTGCTTACCTTCTAACTTTTACTGTAGAGGACAAGTGAGAGTTATGGCAAGGAAAGTTGATGTTTTCTTTATTACTTGAGAGCAGGAGATGCTGGTTTTAGTTTGACTGGACCTCGTTGCTTTAACAGATCCAAAGTGAAAACTGTTATGGTAGTAGGGAGCAGCAGCAGTGTTCAGCAACCGGTCTTTTGTCTCCTTCCAACTCTTTGACCTTCCAT